TCTCTCTCTCCTTTCTAGCCCCTCCCTCCCTCCCCCTGCTCTCCCTCCCTCAGTTCCTTCCCACACCCACAGGCATTCCCCCAGTACCCACCAGGCTCCACCCCCACCAGGCCCAGACCCCCCGACTTGCTCCCCGTGGTTCGTCTCTGGCCCAGCACCTCCCACCTTCTGCCGAGTCACGTCACTGATACCAGGCCAGGGTCCCCGTCGGCCAGGACCTCTCTCTGCCTCGTGCCCAGGGCACAGAGTAGGTGTTCAGCAAACGCTGCCGGGGCCGGGGCGCACCCGTGCCACCTACACCGGCCCTCGGGCCTGCTCTCCCGCTGCCGGTGGCCACCCCGGGGCCGCTGTGGCCTAAAGGGGAAAGAAGGGGCAGCTGGGGCGCCGCCTGTACCGCCACTGCTGCCGACATGTCGCGCTGGCCGCCAAGACGGTGTCCGAGCTGTGGCGCCGTCGTCACCCTTGCCGTCACCGACACGGCCCACGTTCCTCGGTGCTGCCGTGGCGGGTCTGGGCGAGCCAGCAGCCGCGTGGGCAGGCCCACCTGCCTGGGGTCCCAGCTCGGCCCCTCGGGGCTGCCTCACCTGCCTGCGCCTCGGTTTCCTCACCTGTAAAATGGGGACACGGCAGCCTGGCCTCATAGCGCCGTTGTGAGCACCGAATGCCCACTGGGGCCCCCAGCCTCCCGCACTGTCGCCCCCGCCCCCCGCAGGGCCTCAGCCCCCAGGCCCTCGAGGCCCCCGCCCCACCCCACCCCGCAGCTCTCTCTGGAGCCTGGGTGGCTCTGCTCATCTCCCCCTGACACGTGCCGGGAGCCTGCTGACGTCTGGGAGTCACGCCTGCGCGCTGTCCAGGCACCACCCACCGTCTTACCTCCACCTGCGGCCTGCGGGACTCCTGTCATTCCCTTTTAGCAAACACAGACCCAGAGAGGGTAAGCGGCTTGCCCAAGGCCACGCAGTAAGTTCGTGGGCTCGAGCCAGACCTCCCCGCTCCCGGGTCTCCCAGAACCAAGTAGGAGCCAGCCGCAGGCTAACCCGGTGCACAGCCGTGGCTCCCAGACTTCAGTGGGGGGTGGGGGGAGAGGGCAGTCCCCTGGGGTCTTGTTAGACTTGCCCGTTCTGAAAGGCGTGGCCTGGGTGGGGGCTGGGAGATGCCGTGGTGCCCGTCTGGGGACCGGCCCCGGCTGATGGGACAGGACCGAGAACAACCGCAGGGACACAGCATGTCCAGAGAGACTGGGCTGTAGGGGAGGGCAGAGTCCTAGCGGGCTTCCTGGAGGAGGAGGCAACATCAAGCCAGACCTGGGGACATGAGGGGTTGGAACAAAATGGAAAAGCCACTTCAGACAGAAGAAACAGCACCAGTGAAGACCACAGTGGCCCTGGAAATTGCGAGAGGGCTGCAGCTGTCACGTGACCTAAGACAGACCCGACTCCCGCCCCCACGGACGGCCCCCCTCAGCCCGGAGGCCTTCCTCTGGCCGCCAGCGTGGCCTCTCTCACCCCCTTCCTCCCTGACCCAGATGGAGCACCCTCTGGCTCGATACAGAACTCATTCATATGCTTCCCTCGGGGGGTCCCCGGAGCTTCCGGGCCCCAGAACCTTCCTCCCGATGAAGCTCGGGCATCACTTTTACCCCCGCGGCCCTGTGGCCGGACCCTCAGTGTGTGGCTCCTGCAGACCACCCCCCAACAGCAGGCAGTTCCAGAAAGCCAGCCGACAAGAAGGAGGAGCATCACTTCTTTCCTCAGCATCACATGGAACGCCAGGGGGGCCTCCGTGATTGGAATTCAGAAGTGGAGGGCCACGTCCCCGGCTCTCGGCCAGACTGGGAGACCCGGGACGGGTCCCCTTGAACCGCTGGCTTTGCCGGCTGGAGCCCGGCTTCCTGCCCCCGCGGCCCGGTTCAGTGGAGGCCGCACGCCTGCTTCCTCCCCTGCTCTGTCCCCACTGTGCGCTCACGCCTTTGGTGAAAACCCAGCAAGGTGTTTGTTCCTTAGCGCTGCCCCCCGCCCGTGCAGCACCACGGGGGGGGGGTGCCGGGCCCAGACCCAGAGGCCCCCTCTGCTGTGCGTCCTCAGACACGGTGCTGGCTGTCTCTGAGTCTCAGTACTTCCCTCAACAATGCTGATGAGAACTACGGGGAGGAGGGGACCTTGCCCAGGGCTGAGCACACAGTAGGGCTACAGGGAACATAGATTCTTTTCCAGGAACCATATCCTTACCCCTAACCAGCTGGCCTGCCCTTCCTTACCCCGGGGATGCTTGGCCCAGGGAGGAGCAAATTTCAAATCACAGCCAAGCTGGTCCTATGCTGAGCACTCAGGTAGTGCTCCCTATGCTTCTCCTCCCCCCTCCCCCCCCGGCTAGACTATAAGAACGAGGGTTTTGTCCACTTGGGTTGCTGCCTCGTCTCAGCTTTCAAACCCTTATTTGGTGAATCCCCGTTTTACAGATGAGGAAACCAAAGCACAGAGAGGTTAGGTAACTGGTCCAGGGTCACCCCGCGGGTCTCTGGCAGAGCCAGCATTTGAACACAGGCAGCTTGCTCCGACCAGACTGGGCATCATGGGGAGCTTCCTGGAGGAGGTGGTCTTCAAGGGTGAGGAGTAATTGGGCAAAACATAAAGGGGGTGTTGCTGGTGGGAAGAAGAGCATGTGCAGAGGCCTGAGTAAGGGGTCAGGGCCCCCGGGGTGTCTGCAGGGAACAGCTATCCTGGAACAGAGTGCATCTCAAGGCTCTCTTCCTTAATAGAATCATCCGGTTCTTTATCTGGTGAGAGCCCCTTTACTGATGATATTCCACAGGAGGCCAGAAATGTCCCCTGAAAGTTTTCTGGGGCTCAGGGCCTTCTCCCTTTCTGCCCTTTCCCTGCCCAAAGGGCCGCCGTAGATCCGGACAGAAACCCCAATTCAACCCAAATGGAATAAGTCTGGGTGCTTAGGACAGCCTGGGCCCCGGGGTCCAGAAGAAAGGACCCGAGCACATCCAGAGTGACTGGGGTGTGCGCACGTAGGTTTTCTCACTTGTAACCGTGAGTAACTATGACCTGGGGCAGAGGGGAGGGGGGAATGGAACGGTTTGGAGGGGCATCCTCGGGCAGTCCGCGGTTCGAATCCCGCGTCAGCCCTCCCGAGTCGTGGCATCTGGATGGGCCCTACAGCCGCCCGCCCCTTCCAGGCGGAAGGGAGCATCAGGAGAGGGTGGTGAGGAGCCCAACTGCCCAGGGCCAGAACTCGGCCACCCCGATTACGGGTCCTTTCCTCCGCCTCAGTCTGTCACCGGGGGTGGCCGTTTCCTTTTATGCCTAATTTTCTTTTTGGTTTTTAACTTTATTGGTTCATTTTTGAGGGAGAGGGTGGGGGAGGGAGACACAGAATCTGAAGGGGGCTCCAGGCTCCGAGCTGTCAGCACAGGGCCCCATGCGGGGCTCGAACCCACGAACCGTGAGATCATGACCTGAGCCGACGTCAAAAGCTTAACCGAGTCCCCCGGGCGGCCCCGAATTCTGCATCATCGAAGTGCCTGCGCTTCCTGGTGAGCACGGGGGGACTGGACGCACCAAGTCTGTGCCCCACAAACGCAGCCGCCGGCCCCTGCGGCTCTTTCCACTTTCTAACTGTTGCCGCCCGCACATCGAGTTGCGCGTCCAGAGTTTTTAACTCAACGGTCAGTGTCGATGAGCTGCCCGCGTTACGGAGAAGTTTTCGTAACACTGCTGTAATAGCGGCCTTATCGGCCGTGGAGAGGCGACGGCCATAAGTCAGTGGCCCACTTCCCCATCTCGGGCCGCCTGGGGCTTCTGACTGTACCCCCCGCACACCTCCTTCCAGCTTCGGAGCCTCGCTCCTTCTCACGCGGGCCCCTCGGCCTCCAGGACGAGAGGCTTCCCAGATGCGGGCCCAGCCGAGCAACCCGGTGCCCGACAGGAGCCACCTGCCTCATGGGAACAGCCCCGCCCGCTAGGAAGCTCTATTTTTTTTTTTTACAGGCAGGAAACAGAGTGCTCAGATGCAGAGGCTGTCGGAGACAGACCTGGGCTCAGATCTTGCTCCCCGTTTTGTAAATTTATTTATTTTGAGGCAGGGAGGGGCAGAGAAAGAGGGAGACCGAATCCCAAGCGGGCTCCGCACTGTCAGGGCAGAGCCCGACTCGGGGCTCGATCCCGTGAACCGCGAGGTCACGACCTGAGGCGAAATCAAGAATCGGAAGCTTAACGGACGGAGCCCCCCCGGGTGCCTCGCTGCCCCAGGTTTTGATGTAGCCGAACTCCCCTCCCCTGGAAGGCGGGTTAGAGACAGTGCTGTCTGGTTCAGAAGGAGGAGACAGAGAAGGCTGCGCACACAGCAGTCACTCTGCCGATGTCCCTCCTCACCCCCCGCCCCCCGCATCCATCAGGGTGTGGCAGCCTGTCCGTGATGCTGGGAACAGCAGTCGCCGTCCCAGGGCCCACAGCCTGTGGGCTGAGCACTAGCTGGCCCGGGGGCAGACAACACCCAGAAAGGGTTTCAGTGGATGAGTAGGAGTTTTCTGGGAGAGGAGATACGGCCTTCTGGGCGGAACGCAGCTCAGGTTAAGTCCCAGAGGACGGAAACGGCTAATGAGAGGTGGGGAGCCCTGGGAGCCCCCGGTCCTGGGCAACACCCCTCCCGGCTCCCCGCCCCTCGCTGGTCCCCTTCACGGCTCCCTCCGACACCAGAGGGCCCAGGGCTCCTTCCTTGAACGTGTTCTCTCCGTCTCCACCCACCCGTGGGGCCCGCTCCTGCCCCCCACCCCCGCCCAGCTCCACACGGGTCCCCCCGCACCTGCCTTCCAGGTCTGCGTCCACGCGGTGTTGACACGCAAACCAGCACAGCCGGTGTCCTCTGCCCTCCCGCCGTCTCCTCCGGACAGAGCCCCGACTCTGCCACTTCACACGTCCTGCTGGGACACCGGGAAATGGACCCAGAGCCCGCCCTCCTCACCCCTCTACCGAAACCAACCATCTGGGCCATCTTGCCAGTACTGAGGCAACACCTTCTAAATCTCTTCCTGTGTCTGTCCTTCGCCCCCCACAGCAGCAGAACAATCCTTTGAGAACATACATGACCGCCCATTGACGACTTCCCTCTGTCGAGGGGATGAATCCAACATCCTTTCAACGGCCCACGACGTGTTCTGACCCCCCCCCCCCCCCCCCCCAGTCCCTCTGTCCTCGTCTCTCCCATTTGCTTCAGCCACCCTGGCCTCCCCGCAGCTCCTGGAGCTCGCCAAGCTCCCTCCCACCTCAGGGCCTTTGCACCTGCCATGCCCTCTGCCTGAATCTCTCCTCTCCCAGGTACCTGCCCCGCTCCCTCCCTCCCTTCCACCCGGTGCCTGCCCAGATGTCACCTGGTCAGAGAGGCCTCCCCTGGCCAATAAAGTAGCTGTGCTATTTTATAAATTTATAAATAAGTTTCCCTATTTTATAAATAGCCATCCTCTCTACTCCCCCTCATCCCCTTTCATCGTTGCACCGTGCTTACCACCTGCTGCTGTGTTTATTTTCTTGGCTGGGGTCTGTCTCCTCGGCTGTAAGGAGACCCGAAGACGGTTGGGGTGGGTCTGTCGTGAGCTCAGCTGTACCCCCAGCACCTGCTGTCAGTGCTTAACACCACATGTTGGATGAATGTGACCTCCTCTGCCCAGTGCCCGGCACATAGTAGGCACCTGTTAAGTGTCGGATCCATGCATCAATCGCATTATTATTGCTGATAACAGGACCTCCCACTTCTCGGGGAACTGTGAGCTAAGCAGCTGCAGCAAGTGGTGCCGTTTAATGTCCCCATCCCAGCTTGTCATCCATCCTGAGCTTGTGTCCGGGAGAGGAAATGGAGGCTCAGAGAGAGCTAGCAACTTGCCCTGAGTCTCACAGCAGCTGAGCCGGGATTCACACCCGAGTCCAGCTGACTCCATAGCCCACGTTTCCAGAGCAGGAAGCGGTACGGCTCCCACTGTGAGAATAACCCCTGAAGGGTGCTCACAAAGGGCGTGGCCCCCACTGGACCGGATATCGGGGGTTCTCTGCCCAAGTCAGGCCCCACCCGCTCTCGGGGCAGAACCCCGCAGATCCCCCAAAGTGCACGAGGCCTGGAGCCCCAGGCACTCACACACCAGACCCTCTCTGGCCTGGACCCACTATCATCCGGAACTTCAGTGTGGACTCTGACCCAGAACCGGCTCTATCCGGGCTTCCGGGGAGCACGTAGTTGGCGCGATGATGACGGGGGTTATAATAGGGCCCAGCAAGTGACAGGTGCCCCGGTAAATGCCGATCCTAACATTGTCGTGGTTATTAGCATAAGAGGGAAAATCTAGAAGAAAAGCCTTAGAACTGTGCACGCGACCACAGGTGTTTTACAGTTTCTGCTTGCTTATGCACGTGGCTTAATTTGTTTCTAATCATAATGTACGCGTTGTTTTGCATCCTAATTGTATTCACTTAGCATTAAATTAGCCACTATCCTGTGGTTTTCCTTAATTAATTTTTCCACATATCATTTTACCAGCTACGCAGAAGTGCAGGTCCCACGTGCCAGCATTAACTGAGCCGTTCCCCTATAGCGAGGTTTTTATATAACTTACAATCGTTTTTGCTGTGACAAATGATATTGCAGGGCGGGGGAGGGGGGTGGTGCAAACGTACTCCAGAAACTTAGGGGTAGCAATAAACACCTTTAAGTGTTGATGGATTTTCCATTTTTGTATTATTTCCTCTGGGTACATTCCAGGCAGGGAAATGATTGGGTCGGCGGGGGGGGGGGGGGGGGGGGGGGGGGGGGGGGGGGGGGGGGGGTAACAGCTGTATGGTTCTTTGTACCGGCATCAGCCTCCTTC